GCTCCAAGTTAAGAACAGAGTGGTTGAGCTCCATAAGTAGATATCAGCTTGATAAATTGCAAAATTTGATGCGATGCAAGAAGAAGACACAAGAACTTGACAAAACATAACGGAACATGGAGACCTTTGGAATGGAAAGTGTTCGATGGTTGATTGATGAAATAAATCAGCTTGGAGAGCGTTAACTAGCAAATAATGGCATCGTCACACTGCTTAGTCTACGTCTTCGATTGGCCATAAACTCAGAACGCCCGCACATGTCCGAGCAATCTGCTATATATCACTTAAATCGTAAACAGCTTTGGCAGGATTTATCTATAATGTATTACTGTATTTACTGTTCATAGGGTACGTTGACATACATACACTTACGCCAGGCATCACTCAAATCTGGTGTAGCGGTTTGAGAGAATCAGCCTGAGAGAAAATAGAAAACTTTTAACTTGAACCTATGCCACCATGGTATTTAGCCTATCAAATTTCATATAAACAATAGTAGCTCCAGGCTTAGAAACCAGCTCACTGTCTTAATATCAATACCTCTTATTTCTTCTTGTACCCATATTTTCAATGAGATCTAAAGTTCCATAGTCAGTCCAAAATCACTCGCCTAACAAAATCTATCACATAACTAGCTCTAGGCTTAGAAAATGTAGGCCGTTGCTTTGTTCTCGTTAAGGCCTCTCTTTTTCAACTCATATTCGAAACTAGATCCAATTTGTTATTTCTCTCATAATGAAATCTGTAAAAGATACCATATGTATCACTATAAGTACTAGCTACAGGTTTACGTCTAGTGACAAAACAAAAGCTACCCCTTCAAAAAATGATACTGAATACCAATTGGTTGTAAGTTTACTGAAAGTCACAAGGAATTTGGGTCCAATGTATCCAACCTGGCAAGCTGACTGGCTTGAGTTATAGAGTTCACGACAGGTCAGTTCATATGTCAAAAGGTTCAAGTTACGTGACTAATGTGCACCAGATAGAACCTCAACACCTAATATAATGGTAGATTGGTTGTACTCTGCTCTTTTTGTCTTTAAACCCTAAAAAGCTTTGACTCGATCATACATGATTTGCATATGATAATTATTATTAGTATGAAAGGTGCATTATGCCTAATTGTAAATGGAATCAATTCCCACATGACAAGAATCCAATTTCAATTTGCATTCAACAGCTTTCAAATTTGATTACCCATAAAACAATATTTGATTATTTTTATGGTAATGTTCTCACCCTGCTTAATATTTTAGTTCCCTGATCTTTCACCACAAATTGCGAGTTTAATGTTGCATTTATGCTCATTATGTGTATATTATATTTCTTTACTTTTTTTTTATAATCCAAAATGAAAACTAAATTTGAATTTTTAATTTGTATATTTCGGCCTATAAATAAGGATTTTTGTAATAACTTTTCATCTATTATTTGAAAATCCTTGACGTTGAGAAGCGTAATCACAAATGCTGCACCAAACTGCTCCTACAAATTGAGTAGGTAAACCTTATTTGAAGCCCTTCATGACCCTAGGACAGGTTTTACTGTAATATCAGAACATATGCCTTGATTGCTACATTTGTAACAAATTACTCTCTTTTTGAAATCAAATATATTAAATAATTGAATCGTGTGCACAGAAATGCTTTGCTCTGTCAATCAAAGGGTGATGAGTTCAAGCATGATGATCGTCACATAACTCACGTCCTTTGGTGAGACACTTTATCTTTCTATGTCTATCTTCACCTAGGAGTTAAAATTGGTACTCGGGTAGGAAGTCGAATAACATAAAATGAAATTGGTTTGCTGCGCGCTAAACAGCATGACTAGGAATAATCCCCAAGGGGTGAAGGAGACATTTTACTTGAGCATTATTGTATCTAATGAGTGTATAGATGTGTGTATATTGTATCTGATGAGTGTATATTGTATCCGATGACCACAGGTAAGTTCACAATGAACAAATATATTAGCGGATATTTTTTTCGTACAATATCAAAACAACAAAAAGAAAAATAGACAATTCTAATCCCATGCTACATTTGCCTAACACTATTACAATAACTTCATTTTAACTGTCTGAAAAATTGACCACAAATCTGTTAAATACGTACAACCTGCAGGGGCAGATCCAGGACTTAAAAGAGGGAGGTTCAAAATGTTTTCCAAAAAACCCCAAAAATTAAATGAGGGTACCAGGGTCCTCCCTGGGAAAAATTTTCATTCCTAGATGGTCAGAAATGAGCTTTCCTGACTTCTGAAGAATCTTTTAATGACCTTTAAATTCTTCAAAAATTCAAGGTTTTCCCCCTCTTGAGAAAAGGTTAGGTAATTTTATCTCATTCTTTAGGCCTATCATAGAGGAAAAAAAGACAGGCAATATATTATTATATTCCAACAACATTGAGTAGTTGGCTAGGCCTATGTAGTCTTTCTTCAATGGATCGATGAACCTATAGGCCTAAAGAACGCACTTTGTACATAAATTATTACGACGACAAACCAAAAACTGTGTGTATAATTTATTTAATTGAAAACTAGGTGGGCTAAGCCTAGTAATTGTATAATCTTCCAACCTATGCCTAGGTAGGTTTTAGCATGCCTTTTGTAAGCCAGGACCCAGTTGTATTTTTTTGTTACGTTTCTTCACAGAGGCGGATTCGTCCGAACCCCTTAAACCCTCTGGATCCGCCACTTACCTGTATATGGCACTAAGAGCCTAGTCGTAAAATAAAGTATGTTGCATTTTGGAGTGTCATAAAACCTTTATCACTCTCAAACTTGTCTGACAACTTGATAAAACTAGTGGAACAGTAATGCTTACATATGAAATGGCCAGAGATATACACCCTAAACTAAAACATAACAAAATGGAAAGTTGTTTTCATACAAACATACATGAAATTAGTGACTTTCAGTCAGTAGATCTGACAAACAAAACTCAAACTACACTGCAAATCATATATTTTCTTTGTACACTTTGCCACAATTTAATATAATTCTTAATGCCTATGTTTATTAGAGATAAAGGCTTTTTATACGTTTATTCAAAATAATTTTTTTCTTATATTGGACAATAAATAATCTTAGGACACAAAGCAAATTTCTTGCATATTCTGTGCACATGGCAACTGAAACCTTGCACACAGACAGACTTACTAGTCTTTTGCAAGATGTGACCACATAAACCTAATATTCAGTAGTACTACAGATCCTGTATACCACTGTGGTAGTATGAACCTAAACATTCTATACAAACATATTTACAAGTCATTTGACATCAAATTTCCTTAATGTCTCTGCACAATCTCAATCATACTTCACAATCACTTTGATAAATATTTTTGTATATTTACTATGCAATCTTGCATGAATTGTACTGAATAAGCAAATTAAGATAATCCTTATAAATTGCATTAAGGTTTTTGATTGCATTTCTTCTCTTAATTTGATATTAATTTGATTTTTCTTCAAGAAGATTTGGAAGACACTGACTGGCTTTAGTTTATGCTATGCTAGTTTTACTACAGTATTAATTTTATAGAATAATAAATTAATTTAAGGAAATGAAACAGTAGAGGAATATTTTTAAAAAACTTCCACTGCAATTAAACCAGGAAACCTTTGAATTTTTAATATAAGGATATTGTCATCTGACCTTTATTTCATATTGTAAATTTAGATTTTTAAATAAAATGTTGTGTTTTGAGTGTCTCATATAAACCAAATGAACTGAAAAAATATATAAATAAATTATTGTGTGATTTGGATAGCAAAAGGGAGTGCAAAATTATGAAAAAAATATATATATAAAAGGATTACCCAAATTAAAGTACAAGATATTAACATAATATGAGTAATGCCTTTACTAACAGATGCCCTGCTCATACTATGAATATAACATAAACACATTATGGCACACCGTGTATTGTGTACCTTGCACCTTAAATTTCAAGTGAACAGTTCAGTGGAACCGTGTGGTAGTGATGGTTTTTACTGTTCATGGCAATCCTGGTTACTTTAGTTTAATACTTGAGTAAGTTTTTTCTTTATTTTATTTAAGCACATAGAAGCTCTGGCAAATGCGCTATATAAATGTAACATTATTATTGTTTGAAGGTTTGCGTGGGTGCAGTAATAATATAGTAAATGCTTGCAGAAAAATGCTTTTCAGAACTATCTACATGGTATACCTCAAGCATTTAATATATTATTATTATTATTATTATTATTATTAATTATTATTATTAAATGTATTATTATTATTACTACTATTATTATTATTATTATAAAGTTTTCTGTAGAAGACATCTATGATTTGCCCATATACAAAATTTATGACGACAACGTCATATCCTAAGTTATATGGGCAAATCAGATATATGTCACATAAAATTTGAAAGTGTAACCAGAGCTTAAAGAGTTTCTCGTATTACGGCACTGTATTCACGCACCATGAAAACTTTTAGTATTTGTAATTAGGTATGCTGGTATCTAGTCGGCTCTCAAGCACTACTTGTTTAGTGCCAGTAAGATCAATCCAATATTTGTTTTTCATTTTCATTCCATGTATTCCATAAAATTGTCCTGCTAAATAATTTGTAAATGACGTTTGTATGAGACAGAATCAATGTCAAGAGTTAAAGTCTTAAGATGAATCAAATCATTATAAAGAACACTTCATAGACCGAATATTATGTTACAGTGCAGTTTTTTTTAACCATTTTTAATATTAAAATAAATATATAAATAACAACCTTTTATAATAAAAAAAATACAAGGAGTATAAAATATGCCAACAAAATTTTTGATATACCTTTAAAAAGATTTCATAGCCTATCTGAAGGTCATGTAACTTGTACGATCAATTACCGAAGCAGGGGGAGAAGCAGATGTGCGGTGACAATGACCTTACGGACATTGTTTCTCAGAGATGACAAAATGTAAATTGTTTTAATCATTTTTCTTCATGGACAATATTGAATTAAAACACTTACCACAGTCCACCAGAATCTTTTTTTCTCCTTGGGAGGATTTTCATTACTACCGGTTTTATCCTCACAGTCCGAACTATTTCCATCATGATCCGTTTTTATAGATAATAAAGAACGCTGTGAACTAGAATCAGATTTATCTCTCGACAAAGCATTTTCTCTTGCCTTTTTGTTGGCAATCATCACTTTACATGTTTCAAATAATATCGAGCTTTTATCCATTTCTGGTGAATCTTGCGATGTGTCCGTGTCTGTAACTGCACTGCTTCTGTTAAGCGTTCTCCGACGGTTCCTTTGGTACTGATCTGTCTTTGAACCATCCTTCCTCCCACCATCATTGTGCAAGAACATTTTGATGGCTTCCTCCACATCCGGTGAGTGTGACTGTTGCTTTACAGGCTTCATCGCCGATGAGGTAGCTCACTAAACTTCACTCGTATTAAATTACCAATTCCAGTAAATATTGTTATATCTTCTTTTTTTCACCAAAAATAGTAATACTTTCCCTTGATTTGTTTGTTTGTTGCTTTGTATCTCGCATCCTTTCCATACTTAACTTTCAACACTATGTGTGAAAAGAGGTGACTCAATTATATAAACATTTCTGTTACCTGAATCTCTGACTTGATGATGGTTCTAATAACTGCCTGTTAAAACGATGGCGCTCAGCTTAACGGTAAGTATAACATCCTAGGGAGTAATAATAATATTGTACATTGAAGCAATATAGTGCTATAATCCTTTTAGTATGTACAATCCAGATGAGTATTTCTGTTCCAGTTGAGCGAGCAACCAACTAGCTCCAGTGTTTAGTGAGGCAGTCCCTTTCAGCACACTTCCATCTCATTTAGACAACACTATCACTAGTCATCATATCAATATTTATACATGCTTAGCACAGCATAGCGGATACTGTGACTGCAATAGCGTCGATCCTCACAATTTATCCACCAGTTTTCTAGAATATACACTACTGACTGATAGCTTCCTATCAAGGGACTAGACATATACCAAGGCAATTTCCATATTGACTCATATTCTGTAATATTAGTTAATTTTTATTTCTTTTTATTTGCCTCTACTTTTATATCTTGGATATTCTTTCTTAAAATAGATAATATATTTCCCAGTGCGCTTGTGCACTTCCAAGGAGTCTGTTTACAGTCTAATTTTACAATTCGCAATTATACAAACTATTTTCCCTTGTGGTTGTTAGTAAATAACCATCTTCAGCTAAAACACATTGATTCTTCTTTTGAATGGTTAGTAAACAACAACAATTATTCATGAAATCTTCAAGAAAAAAACTGAATAGTGATTATCGCATGACAAATGTCTTTACCGCAGAAAATCAATATTGGAGGAAATTCCAAAACTGAAGTTTATCCAACAAGACAGATTGCAGATGTGTAATAAATCTGGAATACAGAGTAGATCCTTTGGCAAGTTTCTAACCACTGCTGATATTGCTTCATCACATCTTTACATTAGCACTTGTAATACTTTGCAAGATCCTTTTTTTTTTTATCGTTGAGTAATTTTAAAGGTGATTCAAAGTATGTCTATAATAGTGAGCATGTGCAGAGAGTACTAATGCCACTGGAAGTGTTTTATCGCTCCAACTGTAATCTAATACAGCACTTTCGAAGCAGATGAACATAACAATTATATGATGATGATGCCAGACTTATAGCAAACTGTAACAGATAAACATTCCGTATGCTACAGAGACAGCACTCAAAACAGAAGCAACATCACCAACCTTTGTGCTCTGGCTGAAAAAATATGATTAATATATAGAATTTGAAGTAACTTTAAAGGCTGTCATTTATCAAGAAGGGAATCAATATAATGCTCCAAGCAATAAGTCCTTGTGATGAAGTGATCCTACCATCAGCCATTCAAATTCTTATCATCAGTATTGCCGTCACGATTCCTTTCGTTGTCAATTGGAAACATCGCTGTCATCCAAATAATTTCTATGATTACTGATCATCCCTGTACAATAAAACCCTCTTTAACAGTATAACCGGCGGTGGTGTGCTCATCTTACTCTTAGTAGTTCCTTCATTTCTCATCATCCAGCCATGAGCCATTGATGTCTTTACATATAGCTTCTACCCTATCAAAAGCCTTTGTAATTGTTTAGATAGGTGACGTCACAAGGTAGTTATTATAAAAGCATTAGTTCAACATGGCTACATGCAATATATATATCACCAAGTACGCAGCATAATTTCATTGAGCAAAACACAATTTCTTTACATTTACTCGGCCTCTCTATTTTCATAATGGATTACTTTCAGTAGCTCTGACAACCAAATTACCAAATTAAATTTATGGGACTCAAAATATATACATCTATATACTAAGAACAACTACAGTACATATGAAGGAAAACTGAAAAATTACGTAATTATCTAGAAAACATTGTGTGTCCACATAAACAACCCACAGCAATCTAATTTCAGTTTGCAATAAACCCTGAGGGAGGAGATGATTATTTATTATTAATATTATTATTATTATTATTATCAATACAATATTAATAGAAAACAAAACCAAACAAACAATTCGAGCCAATGAATATTTTCATCTATTCGTACATAAATTAGATTTGAATCCATGGCCCTTAGGAAATTCTAACACTGCTATTGATAATTTACTTTCACCCATACGATCAAGGATGTTTTATCATATTCACGATTAAATGATCTTTGCAACTACGATCACGGATATCTACTATGGTCATGAATAATTCATCATATTCCCCAAATTATATCTATTACTACGAACACTAATATTTCATCATATCAACCAGTACTAGACGATTCTACTAATATTTCATCGTATCCATCATTACTAAATGATATTCTACTCCATTGTCTACTGTATGGTACTAGATATTTCAACGCAAACATATCAGCAATATTTTATCCTAAATGTAATAAATAATAAATTTTAGTATGTATGAATTTGAATTAGATATTTTTGAATTATGGGCTCCTTAATTCAAAATATATCTCAACATCAAAGCATAATTTTTTACTATCTTTTTAACAAACTGATCTGTTTTACCTTAATTTGTGTGTGTGTGTACATTACATTTGCAATATTAATTGTGTTTTATTAACATAATGTACTTTATCTACATTTTGCACAATGAAATTTTTAAATTTATAAAAATGAAGATATAATTGTATGTTTGTGGTGTGTCCCATTACTTTCAAATTAAAGTTAAGACAAAATTGCTGAATTACAATACATTTTTCTTTTGTTATAAGAACCAGTACAATTTTGCCCATGATCAGTGTTATATTTCTTTGCCAATTTAAGGCTCAAAATATTCTTATTTTGTTCTTATTTCACATTGTAACTTGCAATCAATGACCCTCTTGTTGGCAGGAAGACACCGGGACTGTTTGAGGGGAAAATTTCAGCACAAGTTTAGCCAAGTATTTTGTGTCATTCCCTGATAAAACTTTAGATTAAATCGCATTTGATGACATTAATGGAGAAGATATAATGTTCATATAACCTTTTTAAACATACATGACTAACCTGATTTGTTGGGGTTTTTTTTTTTTTTTAGGTAATTAATACTTTACTGCATGTGACTAACCTGATTTGTTGGGGTTTTTTTTTTTAGGATTTAAAACAGGATATTTTACCTCAGCTTTAGTTTCTTCTTATTTTTTAAACAATTTCAGCCTTAGTGTTCTTATAATAAAAAAAAAATGTATGTATTCACCACAAGAAAACATACACCAGGAATACACTGTCAAATATTTCAGTTTTGTTTCCTGAAATCATCAATCACTTCTGGATGGAGATGAGAACCATCATGAGGTCCACCCTTTACTTCTTAATAGCATCAAAGCGTTAGCGAAAAGTAGGCCTACATTTCTCGATGCGGTACTCGAAAAGATCGATTGCTTCCATTACCATGTCGTTTGCAATTTAACTGCTCTGTCAACTAGTTTGTTTTTTTATATAACTTATGTCTAGACAGCATTTATTGTTGCATTTGAAACAATTTATTCAAAATATTACTGGTTACAGTTAACTTTAACATGTAACATATGGTTGGAATTGTATTGGTTTCTTAAATGTCCTTACTATAGTGATTTTTTGTCATCTATTCTATGTCTGTATGGTACTGTCATATTTTATGCTTGATGAAAGAATAAGTCCCTTTTACTGGTGTTTTACACCTGTCTCTTATACACATCTAGATGTGTATAAGAGACAGCACATATGTATGGTAATCAATTCCAAATGAAACACCAATCAGTTGCAATAACTGCAACATAAGCACTCATCAGCTGATCAGATTGTCATCCATAATGCACTGCCAACCTGTGATGATGTATACACAAAGCTAGGCCATCAACACATGAAATCAGACCTTATAATTTGGATTATTTATAGACTACCGTAATGTATCTGCCAATATAAATGCAAACAAAGCTTAGCTTGAGTGACATCATCTTATGATGATATACTTGGATACCTACAAAAACGACACGACTGCAAACTTTGTATCAGGTTTTACGAAAAGCTATGCATGAAACTAGACCTTACGGATTATTTTTAGACAACTGCACTGTATATTTCAACATTAATTTTAAAAAGAGTCATGAGAGTTATATCACTTTATGACAATATACACAAATACTAAGTGTACTAACAACACAAATGCAACTGCTATGTTGTATCACTTTATCAGGTTTTACAAAAAAAAACAGGACACACGTGCACAAACACATTATAAACTTGATTATTTTTTTAGACTACTACTACATTGAATAGTATTTCAAACACAGACTAGTTTACTAAAGGTACTGTATATCTACCAACAATTGCTACATTTTATCTGTTCTTACAAAAACTAGTATACATTACAAACAAGTAAACTAGACAATATTATCTTGATTAGATATCCCAACATGATTTTATGAAAATATACATGAATATCTTATGTAACTACAATTGCATTGCAAGTCAGACATTTATGAAAAGCTAATGCAAATGCATAAAACGTTCATTATCTTCATTATTTTTAGACTTCTTATATTAATTTCCTACATAGGTTTGAGTGACATCATATTTACAACAATTATACTTGAATACTTAGTTTACAAATGATGCATCTAAAGCAACATAATCTCTCTCCCCGTATTATGCTTCAATTTCAACATGGATGTCATGAAAATATTATAATCAGCAATCATCATTACAGAATATATCCACATTGTGCAATGTCATAAAAACTGTTGGCAGAATTATTGCTAAACACATCAAATTTATCACCAAAATATTTATATTCTATGCATATCTCATAAACTCTTTTCTACTGTATGACGAACGGTATGGTCAAGAATATGATAGAAGAATATAAATCTACAGTAACTGAGAAAAATAGCAGATTCTTCTCTGAGCATCACAGAAAATGCATATAAAAATTAACATAAAATTTCCATAAAATGTGTATCACGCTCCCCACCAACCAAATTTTTGAAGAACAAAATATTTAGTGTTTGAAGGCAGTACCTATATGGGGCATATCAAAATTGCTAGTATGTATTTAATAGTTTAAAAATTTATAGTAACCAAACATGATATAAAATGTATTGAACGTAATCCTATATAATACTAAGCAATAAAAAGCAGGAAATGTTGGTAATTGGGCTTACAAATAAGAAGCAAAGATCTTATAAACACAAGATAGCGTTCTCCGCGATTTACGCGTAACAAATAGAAGCGTCGGTCAAAGTTCAAAAGATTCCAATTTAGCAAGAGGGCGCCATTCATGCGCTATTACCAAAGAGAAAAAGTAATCAGTTTTGGAAGAGGGCGTCCTATCTGTTGCCATGGATCAGAGATGGTTCCTGTTCTGCTGTTCACAGGATTGATACCCTAAAGGTAAAGTCGCGCGGTGTACGGTATGGTCAGAGCGGTCAAGGGTCCAAAGTTTCCAATTTAGCAAGAGGGCGCCATTCATGCCTTATTACAGAATTTGCACGTGTAAATTGCGGAGAACGCTATCTTGTGTTTATAAGATCTTTGATAAGAAGTCAAAATTTATAGAGGGCACACTTTGCTCATGTCTTGCAGCACTACATGATGGTTGATATCAAGTAAAGAGTGTAAGCATTCCACTGATAAAGATCTTAAAATCATTTTTAGAAAATTCTAAAATTATTAATTGATATGTTGTATTTGAAATTTTATTCCCATCCTTTTACTGGTGTTTTACACTGTTGGAAGCAATAAATAAATAATAAACATTGGTTTACTGCTAACGTAATAAATGCAGTAGAATGCACAATTTCGCAAAACCTGTTGTAGCTTTCAAAGACACAATTTTTAAAACTTTTCGCTTCAATAACACTATCACTAAAAAGATTTTAAGTGCATGCAGTATTATGTAGCGTAGTCATCTAATACCCATGGCTTACACAGCAAAATCCCCAAAGAAATGTAAAAAAAAAAACACTATCCTTAGTAAGAGAAAATATTGTTTTGTTCCAGCATCTCTGACACAAGCGAAATCTTAATGTGTGAAAAGCTCTGAAGTGTACCATGTTCAAAAATATCTACAACTCTATTGACCAATCACCAATGAAACTGTTTGAAAACTGCCTGTGCATGTCCGAATTATGTTTAAATCATCTGTTTAGGCACCATATTTCTGATGGTGATCTGTTGAATGGATTTTTCACAACATAAACTAAGGTGTAATTCGATAGTTGTTTAAATAATAAATTAGGATTTAAAAAGCCATATACTATTGGACACTGAAGACAAAACGTAGATTTAGATCGATTACAGACGTGTATTTTGGCCTAACCCTTGATGCTCAAGCCTATTTGTCTAGACATTTACTGTACTTCTTCTCTCACCTTAAAAGCAATCGCATGTAAGGGTGTGTTCGGGTGAGTTTTTTGTGGAGTCTAACACGGGATAAATCTGGAAACGGCCATTTCCAGTTCTCGCCCAAACGAGTGTTAAACGCAGCCGCCTGCTGATATCGGCTAATAAGCCAACGCTACAAATTGTAGATCCAGAATTTACCATGGCTATCGCA